CCGCGCCCCCCGCTGTCCCGCGCGCCGCTGCTTGCGCCCCCCGCTTCGCTGCGCCACGGAGAAGCGCGATATTGGGGTTCTGGTCCCGACCTCACCGCTACGTGCTGTGGAGTGTGGGGCAAAGTGCTTGCGCTCTCTGGGAGTCATTCTGTAACTCTGGGAGTCTGGACTAAGGTTCCTGATGATCTGGAATAACGCTGCCTCCTCACCCAGCACATTCCTTTACCCCCGGATCTGACTTGGATTATTGTACACGCAAAGGTCCACGCAGCAGCAACCTTTGGGGGTTGTTGGAAGTCACTTTTGACCTTGCCACCCGGGAGCCGAGGGCCGGGAAGCCGTGCTGTGCCGGGGCTTGTGGTGGCATAGAAGTGCACATCTGTGTACGGCGTTTGTATGAATACACGAATAATCCCAAGTGTTACAGGAGTCTGAAAGTTTCACGTAGTTTTAGAGCGGAGAGTTTTATGTTAATTTAGCCTTGGTTCTATGCTTGGCGTGATTTGAGTTCCAGAGAGGGAAAACCAATGACTGACTTGCTGGAGATCATACAACTAAAAATTACACTACAATCTGAAGTGCCTAATCTGCTCTTCAGATTCCTTTGTGTTGTGTTATGGGTTTGACTATCAGTGATGGTTAAGGGAAGGGCGTTTGTCATTGGTGTTTTTGAATGTCAGGGTGATTCTAGGCAAGAATTTGTCATTGTTGAACCAGGTTTTGTGGCACAAGGCTGTAATCCCAGCACTGTGCAGGCTGAGGCAGGAGGATCATGATGAGTTGGAGACCAGCCTGGGCTACAAAGTGAGCTCAAGGCTAGCCTGGTCGGCATTGCCAGACTCTGTCTCCAAAAGGCCCCCGCCATCTGTCATTGTCTTTTTTACTTAGAATAACTGAGATTTCCACTATGGAATTACAGATTTCATTGTTCCTGTTTCTCTTCCCAGCCATTACTTTTTCTTCCCAAGAACCTAAGTGAGTTTATCTCTCATTCACTGAACGAGTGACCCACCCCCAACTACTTCAAAATTTGCTTTTTTTCAGTTGTGACTTCTAGATTTTATTCATGTTTTTTGTTATATATGTTATTTGTTGTTCTTATGTTCCAGAATGCAGAAGTCAATGATAGAATTGTAGAATAACCTGCAACTTGGACTTAGGAGTTAAATTGTCATGTTTGGAATGCACATAATGTACTACCCAGCTATGAGAACTTGAGGGAAAATTACTTTGTATTCCAGTTTTAACTGTAAAATGAGGATAAGAAGAGTAAATCTGATGGGGTTGGTTTGAGGATTCAATTTGATAATAAAATCCATGGTATATAAATTCAACAAAAGTTAGATGCTTCTGTTATTTTTAGTATATACACTCTCATCTATGTGGATTACTCTGTTCCAGGGCTTTAGAAGAAATCACGCCAATTCCTTTTAGGATCAGAACTATCAGAATTGTCCAGGGAGGCAGATGAAACAGAGTTAATTGACAAGAATTTAAAAAAAAAAATAGCAGTTGATTTCTATACCTGAATAATACATATTGGTATAAAAACATTAGAAACGTGAGTATGAATTTTAAAAGTTTGTATTATGTAGTAGTGGTAGATAATTGTAAATGCCCTGAAAATCTGTGTTATATTCAACAAGTCAAAGTACAGGCTTTGCTTAAAATGTGAATCATGGGCATGTAATATATGGACAATGCATTAATTCCTTAGACTCAGTCATGACTCGCAGGATCAGGCCACAAATACATTATGTTAACCTAACTTGCCTTGTTACTAAAAATATTCATAACATTGAAAGTATATGAGGACTGAATAAATAGAGCTCTGAGCTCACTTGAGATCTAGACCCACATAAGAACTATTGTGAGCCAGGTAAACAGCAGGCAAGCTCTTGGCTATCCTGACCTTCAAGTTGGAGTGGCCCATCTGGATCAGAGGTCATAAACATAGAAATGTAAAGCTGCAGATGACACTAGGCTGTAGTGGTTTAGTTTATGCTGAAAAGATGTTGTAGAAATACACATACTGTGATCAGTAACTCCACTAACTCCTTTGTGAGTAATTGGAATTGCTTCCTAGTAGTTCGAAAAAGGAACAGCAAAGTATGTGTGTAATACATTTGCTTTATATCCTTTTCTGGTACTTGGTTGTGTGTCCTTATTTAGCTTTATGCTTCCTTTCTGCTTGCAAACAGTTTATGTTTACTGGTTCAATGACTTTCTAGGTTAAAGTTCATGCAGAGAAGGAATGTGAGAGGTTGTGTGTGCTTTGTTGGCTTTCAAGATGGGACATGTATTAATGCTGATTAAGAAGAGAGAGAAATCATTTATTTATGTTAAAAAGGAAAACAAAACTCACACTCAGTGTTTTTTATCTTTTGTTATCAGATTGTTGTAAATTGTCTTTTTGTACCTAATTATTAGTAGTATCTCTTGGCTTTAGAAACAAAGAGCTTAGTTGATTATCTAGTATAGTTTTCATTAAAGATTATTGCATCTTCCTAGATGATACCAAGCAAGTTGGCTCAGTAGGCCTCTGATGTTACTGGGTTCAGGTTTGCGTATATAAAATGATTTCTTTTAGCACCATCAATATTAAACGGACTTCTTTTTCCTGTGGGAGGTAAATATGCTCATAAAAACACTCTAAAATACTTTTGTATAAGTGATTTATATTTGCTATAGAAAACTGACAAATACAGATAAATCCTCTGATACATAATCCTTCCAACTCAAATTCATAATTGTCAACTTTTTTGGTGTTACTCCTATAGATTATGTCTAATAGATATATTTGTACAATACAGTAAGTCCTTGATTTATGAATAAATTCAGTTCTGGGAGAAATGTTCATATGTTGGATTCATTCATAAGTCTGACAAAATAAGTCTTGTACACCTTTGACACAGATATACAATGTAAAGCATAAACCGCCCCAGAAATACAGTAAGTTTCTACTACTCTATACTGTTGCACTGCATAATAGGCGCACAGCAGCACAACTGTGAACAGATACACAAGCTCCTTACACAATTTGTTCTCATTTGCAAGTATTTGTAACGTGAGGTCCCTTTGTATTAGTGAGTTTGCAGCCTGAATGTTTGTATGACTTAGTATACATACTTATTTTCATAAATATGATCATGTTTTATAATTTCTTACCACTATCCATTATTATGGACATATTAACATATATTGCCCTTCATGAAGATACATTTAGGTTTCTCTTGATTCTGAGTTCTGTGTATTACAAAAAGAGTAACAGTACTACCAGTCTATTGCTCTTTAGCCGGTCTGATTTCACTCCATCAGGTGCATTTGTAATGTCTGGAGATGTTTTCTGGTTTTTGACATGGAAGCCAGCAGTGCTGTCAACATTTTGCCCTTCACAGCAGAGTATTATCCAGCTTGAAATGCCAATAGTGCCACTGTTGAGAAACCCTGAAGCCATCTTCTTTGTCAAAGCTGCTATTAAAATTAAAACTTCAAACAAATTAAATTTGAGTTTAATTGAGTGAAAAATGGTTGGCGAATTGTGCAACTTGAGGATCAGAAGAGGTCCAGAGAGATCCATTCTGCAATGTGGGTAAGCAGATTTATGGCTGGAAAATAGAAGTGAAGTACAGAAGCTGCTTGACTGGTTTAGTTCAGTGTCTGCCCTGACTGAACCTTGCCTGATGAGTTGGCAGTCTGTGGTAGACTAACAAATGGCTTGCTGTGACTGGCTGGTGAAGTCTCAGTTTTTACAAAGCCATACCCAGTTGAATTCACTACAAAGTTAGGTTCAGTTCATTATGTTAGAACTCAAAGTACAAAGGTCTCCTCAGGCTAAATGTACTTTAACATTGCATGGATACTTTTCATAGAACTGAATATCTTCAAAGTATATACATTCAGCCATCTTAGTGGCACAGGACTATAATCCCAGCACTTGGGAGGATGAAGCAGGAGGATTGTCACAAGGTTGAGGCCAGCCTGGTCTACATAGTGAGTTCAAGGTCAATCTAAACTAAGTGAGACCATGTCTTAAAAAATAAAAAAATAAAAAATTAAAAGTATACACATTCATTAATAGAATCAATAGTCTCAGCATGGAAAAGATTAAGAATAGTAAAAGAGAAGTGAGAAGAAAGGTTATGACAGAAATTCCTGAAATATATAATTGAGAATATTTTAAGACTGGTAAAGATCTTGAAGTGTCAGAATATCCAAGTTTCTCATAGGCTAGTGAAGAATTAAGATTGTCAATTGTATAAAAATTAGAAGATTAATAGAAATTAGTAACAAAATCAATAAAACTATTCATTGTAAAATTTCTTATTGATTAAACATTAAAAGAAGACTACAAGCTCAAGGGCCTGAGTTCAATCCCCGGTTCCCCTAAAACAAAAGAAGACTAAAATAGTTTTGGTATTTGCCCATAGTAGGACCAGAAAAAAAAGTGGAAGATATAATTGGTAAACTCTAAGGACAAAACAAAGTGATGAGCTTTTACTGTCGATATTGTACCTAAAAAAATGAAAAGGTGCTGTGGAAGGATCGATCAAGTACTTTTAGTTTAATGAAATTTGTCCTGAACTCTGTTTGCTTGATAAAGATTTATGACAGCTGTCCTCAGGATTTAAAGTGTCTTGTTTTCTTCTGAGGGTATGTCTTCATTTGTAGATTAGGATTGTTACCTTTGCTGTGCCTGTCTTTACCTAACAAGAATTGCTATACTAACTGTTCTTTGGTTTAAAATAGCAGAGATGGGCACAGGAAAAGACTGATTAGTTCATGTCAGCAGAATGCCCTGTCACTTCAGGCCAGGATAGGTGCGCAGTGTTTAAGTGACATCTTTAGGGCTTGGGCTGTCTGCCTGTCCCTTGGTTTCACTACTTCCATTTCCTGGGCGTTTTGCTGTATTTGCTTCAACATCTGACAGGTTTTCTTCAAGTGGTGATCTCGCTCTCGGCTCCAGACCTTCATTGTCCTTACATTTCACAATATCAGAAGAAAAGGTGTCTTGTCCTGTCAGCCTGACAAAGGTCCTGCAGAGAATTCTTATTGGTCAAGCCTGTGTCTTGTGCCCATCTCTGAAATAATCATTGTGGCCAGAGTCTGGGACATTCTGGCTTGGCTTCTGGGTGTTTTGGGGTGGGGATAAAGGCTGGAGTTGGGGTGAATGGCATAAACCTTTCTCAAACTGAACCAGATAGGTCCACCATTGGAGAGAGGGAATCCAATGTCAAAAGAAAGGGAAAAGAGTCTACATCTTGTCCTCTGAATGACTATTATGAAGACAACAATATGCAATGTATTAATTACTGTAACTGTCATACTAACCTGTTTTGAAACTGCTTCATTGCTATTTTATCTTTTTTTCTCATTAAAATGAATAAAATATAAAAAAAAGAAAGGGAAAAGAATATTGGATATGTAAAACAACAGATGTCCACTGAAATGACTCATATCCAAAGAGATTTGTATAAGACTTATATGGAAAGTACTTTTAATTATTCATTTTGACATGGAAGTTATTCCTGTAAGCCTTGGAGAAGTCCCTTTAAATAAAGATTATTTCCAGTGATACTTGTTACTTTAACTGTAGTCTAAATTTAGGTGTTTTTTTTTTTTGTTTGTTTGTTTTATTTTTTGCGGGACTGGGGATTGAACTCAGGCCCTTGTGCTTGCCAAGGAAGCACTTATTCCACTGAGCCATCTCCCCAGCCCCTCTAATAGTATTTGTATGGTAGTTTTTGTACTCAACTGTTGAGTTAATCCAAGTTATATGTGGCTGCTTTTTTGTATTACTTATAATAAGTGCAATTAAATGCACTTATTATATGATTTGTACTTTTTAAAATTAACTGATTTGAGATATTTTAATTGTTTTCCTGAAGAGAATTCTGTATCAGTATATTCGCTGAATTGACTTACTGTTTTGGCCCCAGGGATTATGCATGGAAGCCTGTGCTCTTCCATTAAGCAGTGCCTCCAGTATCCATATTCCCTGTTGAATTAAAAATGGCATATCTTAATTTGAAAATTTTATTTTATTTACTTATTTATTATTATTTTTTAATGTGTTCGGTAAAAGGTCTCACTATGCAGCTTGGACTTGTAGTGATCCTCCTGTTTTTCAGCCTCCCCAGTGCTGGAATTACAGGCCTACACCACCAGGCCTGATGTTGGTGGTCTGCTGGGTGTGCTAGGGGATGGGGCATGTGGTGGCAGGATTGAACCTTGCTCCCTTGCTTGTCTAAGCAGGCGCTTGGTCCACCAAGCTATATCACTGGCCCACACGCAGATACTAGTTTTTCTGCCTAAGCTGTGGCACTCATTGTCTTTAAAAAAAAAAAAAAAAATATATATA